GGTAAAATCAATACAACTGTTGTTACCACAATGGCTATGGCTGCATCCAACAAGTCTCTCCTAGACGAAGTTACTGAGGATTTCCTCAGCTGTTCCATCTGTTTGGAGATCTACAAGAATCCTAAAGTTCTACCATGTCTTCATACATACTGTCAGCAATGTTTGGTAACTTTTAAGGATAAATCTGGGGTGGTTTTGAAGTGTGCAACATGTAGAATCCAGTGTGACACACCAATCGAGGAAATGAAATCCAATTTCTTTTTAACAAGTCTACTTGACACATTTCAGAGACAGAGGCAGCTGAGTACTGACCATCCACCAGTGTGTGAAACATGTCAAGAGAAGACAGCAACTCACAGGTGTGTAGATTGTTCACAGTTTTGCTGTGATGTATGTGTTACTGTCCATGAACGCATTCCATCACTCCGTTCTCATGAAGTGCTTACAATTGACAAGTACAGGTACAGAGAGATACAATCTAGGGGTCATCTCAAGGTACAGTCTAAAGTTTTCTGCAGTGTCCATAAAGACAGCCACTTAGAATTCTACTGTGACACATGCCAGGTACCTGTCTGTTACAAATGTACGATAGTTAAACACAGAGTTCCTGAACACGTACATAGAGATTTACAGGAGGTAGCAGATGAGTATAAAACACAACTGAAGGAAATGTTAGGACAGTTAAAAATGAAAGAGAAACAAGTGGAGGAAGAAAAAGCAACAGCTGAATCTACAAGAGAAGAAATCAGAAACCAGTGTGAGGCAGAGAAAGAGAAAGTTAAGAGAAGGGCAAAGGAAGTGATAGAGAGTGTAAAGAGAGAAGAGAAGATGCTGATAGATGCCTTGGATGAAAGTGCTAGGATCGAACTTAAAGATGCAGCAATGAACATCGATGAGAGGGAATTTCGCCACGGCAACATAGTCAGCACACATCATTATCTACAAACACTGGTCCATCATGGGAATGCTGTACACCTACTATCGACCAAGCCGGAAACTACAAAGCGCATAAAAGAGATGGTTGCTATGGAAACAATACCTCATATCAGTCATGATATCACTGAATTCAAGGCCAGAAGTGACCTTGCTACTTTGGTCGGGGTGATCAAATCTGATGTCTGTCCATCCAAATGTACAGTTGAAAACATCCCAAAACAACTCATGAAAGGTGAATCTGTCAAACTGCTCATCACAACCAGAGATTCCAGAGGAAAACAAATCATTCCCCATCAAAATATCCAAGTGAAAACAAAGACCCATGATGCATCATGGGAAACCATTGATGTTACTGATACTAACAATGGGACTTATCATGTGACGATAACAGGAAAGATAGAAGGAAAAAAACTAGTTGCCATGACGATTGGTAACCAACATATACCAGGATCACCATTCCATATTCCTGTTATCAGAGGATTGGTACAGACGATGGGAAAAGCAGGAAGTGAAGGAGAGCTCAGCAATCCTTGGGGAATAACCATAAATAAACATGGTGACTTTGTCACAGCTGATTTCAGGAACAATAGAGTGGTCATACATGACAGAGATGGAAATTACAAACAATCATTTACATTCACTGGTCAGTTTGCAGAGACATTCACACCACTGGATGTAGTAATATCAGATGATAATGAATACTTTATGACAGATATCAATAACAATCAAATAGTTGTGAGTGATGAATACGGAAAGTTGATTAGAAAGTTTAGAAGCTCTGAAATTGATAATCCACGTGGAATTGCAATTAATCCTGTTACTAAGAATGTGTATGTGAGTGAGTGGAGTAAGCATTGTATTAGAAAGTATACCCAGGGTGGTGTGTATATTAAGTCATTTGGGAAAAGTGGAGATAAGCAAGGAGAGTTCCATAAACCTTACTTGTTAGCTATTAACAGTAAAGGGATGGTATATGTGCCAGATTGTTTCAACCATCGTATTCAGGTATTCAATTCTGATGACCAGTTTATGTTTGAATTCTCTTCCACTGGTGACAGTAGAATGAGTCGTTCAAAGGGAGTGGCTGTAGATAAGAATGATTATGTATATGTAAGCAGTGATGATAAAGTCACTAAGCATGACAGCTATGGTCAGTTTATTTGCAAGATTGATAGTGACAAGGATGGACTGAGTTATCCCTTTGGTGTAGCAGTGTGTAATGATGGTAGAATAGCTGTAGTGGATCGTGGTAATAATTGCATCAAAGTGTTTGTAGAGTGAAGCTAAATTTTAAAGTAAGGGCAAATTGGAATCTATTTCCACCAGTACATGTATAATTTTCAAGGTAAAAATGATCCAGCAAATTACTTTGAGGTATTGAATAACAACTGACAAATGTTAGTAGCGCCACCACAGTTAGTTTTGTATCAGATCATGAAACAAAATTGAAGCTATTATTTTTGACTTCCAAACTTATATTATATAATTTTTTTTTTTCAATTATAGTGCTAATATGAAATTTAAAATATAGTGTTTTTTTTCAGCATGGACGCCAAGATATACTATATTATTCAATTGCTCTATTAGCAGACTGTCAAAGTTATGATTTAAAAAATTATTATTCAAATGCGATTCATTTTGTTTTCCTAATCCGTGATGTGATTTTGATTATTTTATTTTTATTTTTTTAGAAACAGCCGAAGGGTCACCTGATTTAATATCAAGCTGATTTGTGTTCATGTGTCACACAACATTTCGTATACTGTCACAAGAAATGGTTTTTGACTGTTCTGATTAATCTCAATTGTATCATTCATAAGGTCATGTATATTCAAATCTGTTTATGGTTTATAAAAAATACTGTTCCGAATAAAATTTCCTACACCCTGCTTACCGATGTGAGAACAGTTATTTAGTTTCATGATATGACAATGAAGTAATAAACCACCACCAAACGAGGTGCACTCATTATTTTGCACAACCCAAGATGTATACAAACGTCAGTGAGTAAGTAAAGTAAAATCTGTATTAGAAGCCATGGCTTCTATAAAAATGGTACAATGCCACAGAGGGGATGCGGCTTCTATTAGAGCATCTAGACATATGAGAAATGATGAAGTTTCGGTTCTCAATTGTTTGAAAAGAATGGGTGCGGCTTCTAATACAGATTTTACGGTATATGGAGTGGATATCAGTGGTATTCATGTCATTATATTATAACAACTTTTATGCATCATTTTTGAACCCCAGCGGTGTGTGAAAATCACAGAAATATTGCTTGGATTGATTCCCTGCATAGATGAGATATGTTCGTATGTTGATGCATTTTTTACGACACCAGGTGTCGCACACACAGGTTGTAATTTTAAGAAAGAAAGATTGAAACTTGTCCACAGGGAGTGTAGATATCAAATAGAATAGCAAGCTAAGATTAATTACATACAGAGGCATGAAGCTGAAATTGAAACTCATCCACAGGGTGTACAGATACTAAATGGATTAGCTAATTTGCATAAATAAATAAATTAATAAAAGGATACATCTAACGATTCGTTTTCAAAGAAAGCGCCAACAATTACATCTTTATGTCCTCCAAGGGAGTGCACGACTAAGTTTTGAATTCGGACGGCCGCATGAACTCGACTCGTCATGTCTTTAGACCCAATCACAAATGCCCTAAAAATCAGTGCAAAAAATGATATATAAAAATGAAATGATATCAGTTGATACAGTTAAAAACACTTGATACAACATAGTTCTCACAATTCTAAATATGAAATAACTTCTTGACCTGTAACAACTTTCATGAGCATTGATATAGGAAATTCTGATGAGTTTGTTTGTAAGAAAACAAGTTTTTGTTGTTGTTTACTTACTTTGAGTTCGTTGTCCAATCAGTGGATGTCGTTTCATTGTAGGCACCATAATACGATCGGTATAATACCATTGGGTTATACTGTGGCCAGCTGCAGGTACGTGATGTACTAAAATCACGTTCTTATTCATAACCATTATCTCCCGAAAAAGTAAATATATTCGCAAAGATAGAACTGATTTGATGCGATGTAATGTGATTTATTGTGATGTTACATATTATGTGATATGATAATATGTGATATGTATGATGTGATGTATTGTGATATGATGTGGCATATTATGCGATGTTATGTGGCATATTATGACTTTTTGTGATGTAATGCAAAGCTATGTAATGTATTGTGATGTTACGTATTACGTGATGTGATGTAATGTGGCATATTATGTGATGTGGCGTATCATGTGATGCGATGTAATGTGGCATATTATATGCACATTACATCACATCACATAATACGTAACATCACAATACATTTTGCACATGACTTTCCTAACTCCAAATGCAACTTTCTAAATTTGAAGACAACTTCTAAAATAACTTTGAAAAATTTTGTAGATACAAGACAAGTTACAAACAATAGAGTACAAATTTCAAATATTTTTTGACTGTCTCTTCAGTCTGATGTGCAACAGAATCATTATTTTGATTTTCAACCAGGGTAACGACAAGCCCTGTTGTTGTAGATTATTCCAGTGCTTCAAAAAGTGTACAATTATTATAATGTGAAGAATTATTGTATTTTACATTGGAATCCATACAAACATGACACGGTGTAATGAATAGAGTCTTAATTTGTGTGTATTTATTCACATAATAAACCAAAATAAAAATTATATTGTTAGAATAAACTGAAATACTAATTCTGTGACATTGTAACTCAGTAACTTGTTTAACATTAACTATGTTTCTATGGTTACTACTTCATCTGACTTTGTCCAGGTCTTTTGTGTTATAAAGCTTACATCCTTGACAAATTTCAAGAAGAATTTTCTAAATATTTTCAAAAAACTTACAACCATTTGATAAAAATATTTTGAATGCAATAATATTTCCTTCCAAAATGTAAGTGCAAAATTTTCACACTTGTATGAATTTTTTTATAATTTTTTTGATAATTTTGGACCAAATGTACACCAATATCTATTACCTACAGGTTGTGAACAAATTTTGTGAAAAAATATAAAAATATTTTATGAAATATGACAAAAGCTGAACTTGGCGTTCAAAGGTTAATACCGACATCTTACCATCATATTTGAAATTTTGGAATGAATGGACAGGATATGTGTCAAAATTTTTAAGGAAGCTATCTGTAAACATAGAACTGATTTTGAAAATAAACTACAAAAAATACAGTTTTGAGAGCAATGTTGGTAGAAGTGACACAAATTTTACTCAAAATTGTCTTTTCCAAACTAAGACAACAGCTACATTTTGATTTAACCATCAGAAACGGTATGGTTCAAAAAGATAATGAAATTTACTGAAAATTTTACAAAATGTGAAAATATTTCACATAATTTTATGTGAGAGGAATACACACATACAGATTACATGCAACTAAAATAACTTAATTGCTGACTTGCTAAAAATACACATTTTATACAGCAATAAATTCAACAAATGAAAACAAAAGTGATAAAGAACATACATGTCAATTACATGTACAGATTTGTCAACAAAATATGCATACAATTAAATAAAATCTTGAGTTAAAAAAAAATAGAAAGTTGGCAAACAGTGATTGCTAAGTAGTTCGAACAATTTAAAAAAAAAAATATTATCAAGAGTTATTATTATACATCTGTCACCGTAACACCATGAGTTACAGCGTGCCGTCATTTTGCGGTATTTTACGGGGTATTTTTATACTACCATATTAGGAAATGCAAATTCCAAATATGGAATGATTATGCTCATAAACGTCTTCTAATAATAAAAACAAACATGGCTGCCTTCGGAGTTTGACCGGACTCCACACATAGAAATTCGCTGATTCTGTTCTAAACTTTTTTGGATTTCGGCATTCCCATGATGTATCCTTGAAAGGAAAAGATGTATAATAATAAGGTTATTATGAGAATAGCTCAAAGTATGCAATCAGACAGTATACCGGTACTGTATATTGACCTCCACTGCGCATCTGTCGATACTCAAGCTGTACTGTCTTCGTGCATACTTTTAAGTATTCTCGTAATAACCTCATATTATTGGGTACTTGTATAAGGATCATGGTCAACGTAACCGTGTGTGTTCGAAATAATATTATACAATTTGGTTACATGATTGTTGTCTTTATAACTCTTTTGTCATTGGATGTCACGCAACGCACGTGTGTGATTTGTGTTGATTTTTTTCCCGCAATGCAATGTTCCATTCCAGTGGCAAGCATAAATACAAGTTTGGTATTTGCGATGTTTACTAAATACCAAAATTATTTTAAAATTATTTCAATAGCAAAACAGTTATTAATGCATCTGTTGCTATTTTTTTTATTTACTTTCAATTGATCGAATCAATCGTCTTCATGAATTATTAATTATATCATTGGTGAATTATACTATTATTGTAATTTATTATTTAATTCAAAGGTTTTATTTCAACTTTGACTACTACTGATAACAGAATCTATTTCACTTTCATCTTCTTCTATCTCCTCCACTGCGACATCGTCGTCATCTGTATCGTCCTTGTCATCTACTTCGTCAACTTTCCTCTTTGTGGATTGCAATTTCCCAATGAATGAAATATACTGCATTGTGTACTTATTACTGTCACATCTAGAAAACAAATAACACAAAAATGTATGATGATGTCACTTCCCCTTTGTTGTAAATATACTGCATTGTGGGTAACCCTGAAACTATACTGCCCTCTAAAGAAAAAATATTTTAGACGAAAATTGTCATTGAGAGTGAGTGAGTCACGCGACTTATTTTTGTCTTTTAAATAGTGTTCTATTCTTTCTCTCTATTGTATCCATGGTTCCAATTACCATGGTTACAAAGGAAAGGGGAAAGCACTAATACAGCACCTAAATGCCATTGAACATTGAATAGACCAACTTCTCTCTGTTTGGTTTCCATGGCAATTTATAACATTTGCCAAAGTTTTACTTTGTATCATGTTTTTATATTAATCTTTTATGATTGTAAAAGATAGTGTAACTGAAATATTGTAATCGCACGGATTTGAGTATAAAATGACACCTGTGACAGAGAGTGATTCAGGATCTTTCAAACACGTCACAAATTGCAGTAATCAGTTAAAACTTAGAGAATACTTTATTTTCGCTTGGAATTAACTTTCGTTATTTTCGCTGTAGGGATGATTCAGTGAAAAAAAAAATCTAGCGAATATTACTTTTTTCCTATTTTTCACATTCAACTCATCAAAAATCAGT